GTTAGACAATGTTCTGGTCAACTAATGGATGCAAGATTGCAAGTACATGAGAAAACGGAGGACTGTCAGTAGAAGATAGTAACCTGAAGCTGTACTTTATTTTTATTAATTTATCTATTTTCTTCTACGAAGTATTTTTTCAAACGATAAACCTGAACTCCTAAAGATCTAAAGTACTAAAGTAGTACTACCAAGTAGGGTTCATGAGCAAAACTACCCGAAAAACTGAAAACCCGAAAACCTCTTCCGTTACCGTTCCGAAAATTAGGGTACCCGATCCGATAACCATAACGGTTCGGGTAGTCGTTTCGATAATTTGTTATTGGGTATCATTTTAAAATTAACGGTTACCCGTTCCGAACCGATAAACAATTTTTTGTTTTTTATCCTACTTAAATCTATTTTTTCCAAAATCAAAACTCTTAATTTACTTCATAATCACTATATAATATCAATGATTAGTAATATAATTAATAATTTGGTCAAGATCAAGTGGTATTGTTGTTAAATAGTGTTAAAATATATCATAATAACTAATTTACTAAGTTTAATTATCACTATTGGATACTTTATTAGGTACCCAATAACCGTTCCGAAAATCCGGGTACCCGAAGTGCGGGTACCCGAACTTATCGGTTCGGTTTATGGATATCACTTTTGTGATATTGGTTATCGGGTACCCGAACTGTTAGTACTAATGGTACGAGTATCCGTCCCATGCTCACCCCTACTACCAAGCTTGTTGAACTAAAAAAAAAAGGATCTCTATGATCTCTTACAAGGATTTTTCTTTTTTTTTTAAAGGTTGATATGTCTCATTTTATACATTTGTTTATATCAAAATTCAAACTTGAATATTTATAATTACCCATATGTAAAATTACAAGTATAAAAGACTGATATTTTAAAAATATACATTTAGAGAATTTTAACTAGACCTCACATGTCTATTTTATTAACTATTCAAATAACTTTTTTTCTTTTTTTTCTTTTTGAACAAGTCAAATAACCTATTTTATATAATCTAACTCATCTAATTTTTTCGAATTTATGAATAGTATAGCCATGTAGCATAACCACTTACAACATCATACGAAAAAAAAAAACTTTAATAAAACATGAATACGTGGTCGAGCCACCAAAACGAGTATAGACCGCGTAAAAGTCGAAAGAAATATACCTCCAACAACAATATTAGTGGTTGACTGGTTGTACAAATGTACAAGCTAATAATTGCATGTATTAGTGAGCCCATTAAATTAAGTGATTATCTAATATCTATATCTCTTTATGAACAACATTAGTGGTTGTACAAACTAGTAAAGTTTAAAGTTTTATGCATGTTCTTTCTCTTCATAGCACATGCTAGTTTAGTATGTATATGTCCAAACAAAGAATTTTCATTTTAATATTTGGAAAGAGATTAGAATAGCCCCTAGTATTTGCTCCACCACTTTCACTTTGTACTTTGGTTGTTTATGATTTTAATGTATTTAATTAAGCATGATGTACCAACAATTAATTAAGATTTTATTCTAATCTTATTTTAATGTTATTTTAAAGTGCAAATCCATTAAGAGTTTGATTTGTACACGGCTCTAAGTTTTATTGGTTTAGCCGTTGAAGACTTGAAGTGACCAATCAAAGCTATACTTAGCAAACCATATAGACCAAATTAGAAGATCTATTAAGGAATAATAACTACTTAATTTGAAGATGCTCCCTTTGTGAATTGAACCTCCTTTAAACTATTATTTTTGTTGTTAATTTATAACCCTTTCAAAAGAAATATAAGGAGTAAATTAATAAATGAATTTATTAGCTCAAATTAGTTGTTGATGCTCAAAGAAATATATTGTTTAATGGTCACTAAAATCTATTAATGGTCACTTTTTTTTTAATTTTATTTAATATTGTTTCATTAACTTTATTTTTTTGGAGTTCTACCTAAGCTAAAGTTTAAATTAATCGATGAATTCTTTAAAAAAAAAAATGCACTGCTTACGATATAGAAAGGTCAGCATATAAACAAATGTAATAGTGATATTTGTTAGTAAAATAGTACTTGTACTACTAATATTTTAAGTATCTGGATCTTTCTAACTTGTTTAGCCGAAATCAACCTGTCCCACTAAGATGTAACTATCTAATTGTCAGTATTCCATTAGAGTGATCCAAATAAGGCGTTTTAATTTTAATATTATTATTGTGTAATTAAAGATTGTCTTTTGTTATGATGGTTTCGAATTGATAGTATGATACTCGTATATTGTTTTGTTCCCTTTCCCAATAAGAGTGCATGCTATATGAATAATAATTATATATGCTAATAAGTCTCTATATTCTAGAATGTTCATAGTCATATACATATTAGTTTTAGATGTAAGCTTGATAATTTGATATCTTTCGTTATCTTAAGATGTATGAGTTTTGGTATCTTAAAATAAACGTAACATGTATGTAATTTCTTCATACTTGTTTTTCATATTTAATTCAATTTATTTCTGTATATAACACACTTGCTCCAATATAAGGAGTATATATTTCACTTTATTGGAGCAATCCCCAATCCCTATATATCCTCCTTAGTCCTTACTAGTTCACCAAACTAGCTCTTCATGTTTAGTTTCTTTCAAAATTCTATATTATTAGTTTAAATAAGGTAGACTTTTCAATAGAAGAAAAGTTGAAAGTACCAACTTCATGAACTAAAATAACTAAAAGCTTCAAAATTTGCCTAATTTTGCCTAATTTATTCAATGGGTGGACATAAACGAGGTTAAGACATTCATGAGATTGAGACATTGAGTTGTTTATTGATGAGAATCTCGACTCACATTATACACCCTTAGATAAGAGAGTAATCGTATGCATGAATTATGATTATATGATGAGTAACGTAATGTTGCTCATTAAGATTTGTTTAAACTAATTTACCTATTGACATCACTTATTTATAAGAGGAAAAAAATTCCTTTTTTTATAATGTAAACCAAAGGCTTTTATTAAGTGTAATAACTAAATTTGACATCTCTATCTAATGAAACTCACCATTTTTTTTATAGCATTAATATACCATAAATTATTACTAACAGTTTAATTCAAAATGAATACTATAAGGGTTTTATTTCAAGTCTTGAATACCCCCTTTAAAAACTTTAACCAACTAGCTAGTGAACTAGGTTAGTTGATAATCTATTATATTATTACTTTCCTTCAACATTTATTTTCAATTTTTTTTTTTGGTGGAACATTTTTAAGGCCCAAAGTTTCTTGCCAAACTCAGAATTAAGTTTGACCCAATGACCAAAATTTAATTAAAGGGATAACCAATTTTTAAGCCCATTTTATCGCTTAGTCGTACTACTTGTACATAGCATAAAATCCCATGATCCGGCCTCATTTGTAAAGCGTTCGTGCTTCTTAATGTTCTTAACTTCTTTCCATAGTTGCACCCTAATTTGTGTAATTAAAGCCCAATTATTGGTTAATGCTAAACTAGTTTTTAAATTTGGACAATACTCCGGGTAACATAAGATCTTTCTATGTGAGTTACCCATAACTCAAATTTGTTCAACACCAATATTTAACATTTGTACGGAATATAATCATATATTCTAAAAAAAATGTTTGAAATTAGTGGTATTTTATTATTACCGACTAACTAGTTAAAGTAAAATTATACTTTTATCCATCCATGCGTTTATCAATGCAGGTATTTGGTCATGTAAAGATAACTTTGTTAAGTACCATAAAATGATCATTTTTCAAGGATTTCCTAACATGTTTTCTAAGTTCGCTAAACTTCTGATAAATTATACCCAATAATACAGAGTGAATAATTAGAAAACAAAAATGATAGAGTAAACTTAAGATTATCTTGAGTTTCTTTTTCTTGGTTAGGTGATGATTAAGATGTTTTAAGATTAACCCTTAGATCTCTTCAATATTCTAATAAATCAAATATTTTAAAAAACGTCTTATTCCTTTATCAACCACAATATGTGTTTTGAATGTTGTAAGCAATCAATTTTTTCCCAAGTTATTGTCACTAGATGAAGCCCTGTTTGAATTTTTTAAAATAATATTTTTCACATATATATTTATGTGCTAAAAATTGTTAAATATTTAAATAAAATTCCTGATATTAAAAGATAATATTTTATATTTAATTAATTTAAACTGGATAATCTCATTCGCTAATTTTGCTTACGTGTCAGTTGAATTATTTAATTCTAAAAGAAATTAATAATATCGTATTTAATTGGCTACCACTAAAATTTATTATCCTACGTGGCGCGCTGAAAAAATTAAATCCTACATGGCTCTCTAAAAACTCGGGAAAAAACTCCCCTTTATATATATATATATATATATATATATATATATATATATTAGATTTTACACTTCAATTTTGCTAATAAAGATACTTCATAATTAATATAAATAATAGCACATGTATTCACATAGATAGAACTATTTCATTTTTTTTCTTCTAAATAACAGAGATAACCCGATCGAATAAACTAAGTGTCTTGAAGAAAAACTACAAGTTTATTTTTATCAAGTGGAAAAACCATAAAATAAATCAACAAAATGCCTCGTATCATGGTATTGAACCATGGCAGCCACGTATCCCGACCCGAGCATCTGTGAGAAGATCTTCCCCTGTAAGTAGTACATTTCCTAGGAATTTTAAATGTCTACATAAATTTAGTGCAACCAAACAAGGCTGAATAGTAGCTTTTCCAAAATTGGTAAACAAAATATACTAACTTGATAGATATGAGTAAAAATCTTATTAAAATAAAATTTTAATATCAAATCCCGCCTATTACTTGTCTAATGTACCTTTATGAGTTATGACTCTTTAAGCCAAATCAAAAGCTTTTATATGATCGGGTGCACCCAATTATTTTTAACCCAACAATTTAACACTAATCTAGCAATTTACCAACACAATTAATAAATTAATTATAGAATAATCAAATCACAAATTCACAACAGCCAAATAGAGCAGAAAACTTTACCGTTATGTCTAGGAATTGGATTTGGACCCACATTTATTCTTATCAATAAATTCATTTGTTTTGGATTATACTAAATTAATTCATACAATATAGTTTCTTCACCAAACTACCTTGATCACTCCAATATCATCACCGAACTCTACGCTCATCTCACTCTCTCTCCATGTGGGCAAACCTTCAATAGCTTCGTGTCCTTTACTTTGTGTTCATCAATGGCGGCCCTTTACCTTCTTTATCTCGCATCAAAAGGAGCAACATTTCTCTCTTTTCTATACAAAATATCTCGCTCTACCCAATACAGATTGATGGGTCGTCTCTGTTTCCTCATTGTTTTGTGTTCAACTATCGAGTTTTTTAAAAGGGTACTTTTAATTTTTCAGTCGATTTCGAGTTCAATTTTCTTGATGGATTGTGTATCTAATTTGAAGGTTTTGCTGACGAATTTTGATGATTTTGGATGTGGGTTTTTGATTTTCGGGTGTTTTTCCAAGATTTTCAATGTTTTTGTGTTATTCTTTATGTTTTTTCTAGGGTTTATGGTGTTGCAATTTACTGGGAATTGCAAATTTAGGGGGAAATCTAGTGAGGAGAGAAAAGGTTTTTCGTTGATTTGCTCTAGTAATGATGAAATCAATGGTTTAAAGAAGTTGTCATTTGAGAATGGGACCACTAAGAAGATGTCTAGGGTTTTCAGTGGGGACCAGAAATTCGAGGAAATCGATGAAGTTTTGAGTTTTAATTGTGGGTTTAATGATGGTGTTGGTAGAATTGGAGAAGAAAGGGAGGATTGGAAGGAATGCTGTCATGAAGACCAAGTGTTCGACGTTATTACTCTGAGAAAGATGGTAAAAATTCAGAGACAAAGGGCTTATGTTGCTCAAAATGAGCTTGAGAAGGAAAGAATGGCTGCTACTTCCTCTGTCGACGAGGCAATGGCGATGATATTGCGGCTTCAGAATGATAAGAGTGTTCTTCAAATGCAGGTTAATCAGTTGCAGAGAGTTTCTGAAGAGAAACAGTTACATGATCAAGAGGTTAATCAATCACTTCAATGGATTATAATGAGACACGAATCCGAAAGGAGTTTATTAGAGGATCAATTGAGGATGTGTAGGGAGAAATTGAAGGTACTTATGAAGGGTGAAGAGTGGGATCAATTTGATAGTGTTTGTCCTACTCCAAGTGCTACTTATTCCTCATTTGGAAGTAGTAGGGATGATGAATTGCTCATTGGCTCGCTCGATTTCGAATCATCGCCTATGTAGGATTCGGGTTTCTCAGCTATTGTTGTGATTTGTTTGGCTAATTGTAATTGAAGTCTTAAAGGAAGATTTTTGAATAGGGAAAAGGTTTCTGTGAATATGCTTAGTTTGATTACACTGTATCTTTTCTTTCATGTAAAAGCAATTGGAATAAACTCAATAAAGTTACACATTTTTTGGTTTAATGAAAATTTGGTTAGTGTTATCAACAGCTTGATTTCTTATTTTTGCATTGTTCATTTACAATTGTTGTTTGCAGCTTTCGTCGAATTTAGTAAAGGTCATTGTGATGATTGTCTTGCGTCTTAAAACAGTCTGTGAAGGGAAGTTAGTTAGTTGCTTTCTTTGATTAATGTATTAAATGTTGATTCTCTCATACGGTCATACCATTTGATTGGAATAGCATGTCCTTACAAGTTAAGGAGAAGCTATGAATCGCGTACTATGTGGTCCAGTGTTACTGTGTTACCGATGAGGTTGCTGCTTGTCATACTAAGATCAAGAGGTTTGTTTAAGACTGTATAATTATCATAAAGAAAGATGCTTATTAATTATAATGCATTATGAATTTACGACAGTCAGCTTGAGAATTGTCTAATGTGCATTTTGTCCATCCTAGCTAGTATCCTACCATGAATGACAAACGAGTTTGATGTTGTAACATGAGATGTAAGCGAGGATCCCTAGTAATATGTCAGCTTATCAGTCAACACTTACAAATGTTGGTCTGTTGGATAGGTACTTCTTCGCTTCTACAGAAAACGATTGCTATAGTCCTTCTACGGAATCTAAGCCATATTTATTGAAAGAAAGCAAATTTCTGTGTGTAGTTGATTTAGAAAACTATTTGACTTAGGATTACAAATAACCAAATTTAAGAAAGATTATATCGGAGTGGCAATGTTACAACCTGCCTTCTATGGTAACATTTAAAGCTCTGTCATCAATTTTAACTGTTATTCTGTTGCCTTATATACTAGAGTTATGTGAATAAATTATCTGATGAAAGAATTGGATAATAACAAAACAATTTCAGAGGTTTACAGACAGCAGTAACACTTCTACTACTAGACTTTCAGAGAGAAAATATCAGACATCATAGGATAACTCCGTACTATAAGACTGCATACCCGAAATATCACCATCAGATCCTTGCTCTTGATTATGGTAGTAGATTGGATTGCATTGCAACAGCATGTTATCAGTAAACTCAGACTGTTGATTGCAGTAGCCTGTACTCATCATAGAATAGTCGCATTGCAGAGGAAAATTATCAACAAATTGTGGCCCTATATCACCATTGTAGATAGAACAGCCCATCATTGGAATGCATTGCAGAGGATAATCATCAGCAAATCCCGACCCTTGATCAACATCAGTGTAGCTAGTAGTAGGACTCATCGCTGGTATGTATTGCAGAGAGCAATTATTAGCAAACCCCGACCCTTGATCAACATCAGTGTAGCTAGTAGGAGTAAGACTCATCGTTGGTATGCATTGCAGAGGATAATCATCAGCAAATCCCAACCCTTGATTGAAGTTATTGTAGCCAATAAGAGTAGGCTCTATCTTCGGAATGCATTGCAGAGGATAGTAATCAGCAAATCGTGTCCCTTGATCAATATCAGTGTGGCTACTAGGAGAAGGACTCATCATATTCATGTCATACTTCCCTTCATAATCGGCAGTAGCAAACATCTCAACAAAATTAGACAACAGCAAATTATCGACGTTAAACGCTTGAATTTCTTGTTGATCAGCAGCAAATCCATGATTGTTAATACTCTTAATCGCAGCAATTCTACGCGTCACAGAATCAAGCTTATGCTCCAAATTGCCAAGCAATTCAACAAGTTGTTCATCAGTGAACTCAGAAAGATTTGTACTTTTGCACCTTATATTATACAAATCTTGGTCCCTTTTTACCAAATTTTCCTCATTAACATCTTTCAACACGTCACTTAAGTTAAGTGACCTCTTGTTACTTCTAACATCCTTAGAAATTGCTAAGTAACGATTGATTATGTCACGAGCCAACTCCGGGTTTGATGTTGTAACATTGTAGTTGATGGCAGATTGGGTGTTTTGGCACTCTTCTTTACCCGTGTACGAAAAAATTTCGGGTTTTACGGAAATTTTGTTACCTTCAACATAAGGAAAGATGATGACACAAACTGGAACATCACATAAAATTGACAATTCACTTGCTTTTTTAATCAAAGTTTTCTTTTTCTGTCGAAAGTATAAATTTCTCTTCTTCTCGTTTACTATGAATTGCCTTAATGATTTCTCCTTACCCATAATTAGAACGATTTTTGAGCTAGAATTTGAAAGAGAGACAAGAGGAAAAATATTAGGACAGTAATGAAGGAAAAAGGTATGTCCAAATAATATAATGGGTCTATATTTATACAATTGCTAAATGAAGGAGATTATAAAAAATAAATTAATAGAAAAAAATTGAATTAAACCTTTGTACAAGGCATGTAAATGTATTGCTCGTATTTTTACAACTGTAGTATCTTGCAAGATGTTTCTGCATAATGTAAAATCTTTTTTTCCCTTAAAATTAAGAAAGTGAATTTTTTTTCCTAGAAATCAGGAAGAATTGATTTTATTTTAAAGATTTGGAAAGTGTGTATATAATATGTGCGGGGAAAGAATTATTTCAAAGATTTTATTTCTCAAAATAGTTTAATTTTTATAAAGCATGTGTTCGTATTACATATAAGTGATATAAGCCTAACTTATATTCTTATGATCTTTCTTGACGACCAATTAGTTGGTCACGTTGTCAACTACTAGAGGTACTTAATTAAGTAGGGCTGGACGGTTAGTCCTTCTCATAAGTGAATCAACTAATGTAGTAGTCCTAACTTCTAAAGCATTTTTGTTTGTTACATCGGATGTGTTAAGGTTGATCCTTGAGAAAGTAGAGATTATGCAATTATGATGAAAATTTATTTATTTATTTTTGTTCAGAAGTACGGATTATAGAGTAATTGAACCAAACTACTAAATGATATACTAGTACTTTGTATTTAATTTGTTAATCCGTTTGATTGGGTGTTAACCAGAACTAGTCATTTAAGTCATGCTAATTGAATGTGATTGCCGTATAACTTAAATAACAAACCGTATGAGGTACTTTGAGTCACTTCAAATTAAGTCGACTCAATCTCCATTTCAAATTTAATAGACTCATTCCCGTATTGTGTCAGATGATAAAGGGATCACTAGGATACTATCAAATCTGTAGAATTTGTTATACCATACGCCAAACTAATGTAAAGTTAGTTATTGCTTTTCATTTGATGATAAAATGAAAAACAATCATTAAAATGATAATAAATAATTATGGGTATACGGTACACTCGGCCATCCGGGTGAATGGTACACTTGGGTGTATATAATAATACTCATAATCCGAATTTATGAGACCTAATAAAACTCAAAAACCCGAACACATGAAATCCATATACGCGGAATGTATCTGTATACAGTAATACCGTAATACCTACACTCTCTAAATTTCAATTTCAGTGTTTCACCTTCTGAAACGCAAAAACACACATCAAAAGCCAATAAGCAGAGAAAGGAAAATCGAAAATCGTTTTGCGCCAAAGATTAGGAACTTTTCTCTCTTTAATCAAGTAAGAGTTCAACAATGGTGGATTTTCTTGCTTGTATTATTATCATGGGACCGATTATGGCGTGAAGAATTTCAATCCGAAACAGTAATTTTATCCTATTTAAGGTTTGGCAATCTTCACAATTCTTAATTTTAGGGCGAAATTTTTGTATTATGTAAACCTTAAATTTGAGTTCATGCTTAAATATTCATACATTTTTTTTTTGCCGTTATAATTTAGTAGCTAAGAATTGAGATGACACATCTTTTGTTGTTTATTTTGATTGATTTTGTAATAATGATTTCATAGTATGAAACTGTGTTGTAATTTCGCGGATATTTGATTTTGCGACAAAGGAGTTGTAATCATGCTTGATTTCTTGTTAATTATGTATTTATGTTGTTTGTTTGCTGGACTAGAACACTGAATTGCACTCTCATTAGGATTTTTTTACTACAAAAGGACTAAATTTTAAGATATTTATTACTAAGGTTTATGCAGTTTATGAAGTTAATTGCTAAATTTAGATTGCTATTCTCTCCGAATTATACTGTCAGTACTTGGTTCATCATGTTGTAGTAGTAGTTTAATGTTTTATGTATATAGATAATTTATCAAAAGACATACAGTAGCACAATGTTTTAGTTATGTGGTCAATTGCTTTTCCTATAGAGACTAAGAGAGTTGGATAAATAGCAAGATGATGCCGTCGCTTAATGAATCCTCATCGTAAAGATATGGATGTCATTACTGACGGTAACTTAATGCTTTTCGCCGTAGTATAAGGGCCTTTGTTTTCGCCCCCCATCTTAACAATCTAGGAGCTTGCCTTTTCTGATTTAGTGTTTCCACTTTTTATTTTGAGGAAAATAAGAAAGGTGCTTCCAAAATTTAGAGATGCCGAGTATATTTTTTGTTAGAAAGTTGTTTCTCTATGCAGGCAATTCAAACTTGAAAATTTTATTCCTTGAATTTATCGAAAATTCTGCAATCATGATGATGCAGGTCTTTGCTTTACATCTTTAATGATGGATCCTGAAAGTTCAGTGCCTGCTGAACCTCCACAAATGCTTCCTCCACCACCTGGAAGTTACGCAAATCGTGAACAACTTATTGAGCATGTTGGAGATTTTGCAATTTCACAAGGATATGTAGTTATCATAAAGAAATCCAGAAAAGATAAAGCAGTAGTACTTGGTTGTGATAGGGGTGGTGTTCATAGGAATAAACGTAAATCTTCAGTGACAGAGTCTGCAGAATGTACTCGTAAACGAAAAATTAGTTCTCGAAATGTTAACTGTCCTTTTGAAGTCATGGGTAAAAATGATGGTGGAATGTGGTATATAATTGTAAAAAATGGAACTCATAACCACGAACCTATGAAGGACATCGCGGAACACCCGGCTGCGCGTCGATTTACTGAGGATGAGGTTTTACGGATCAAAGAGATGACAGAAGCTGGCCTTAAGCCACGTCAGATTTTGAAAAAACTTAGACAGAGCAATCCAGAACTTTTATCTACTCCGAAGCATCTTTACAATGTCAAAACCAAGCTAAGACAAGGAAATTTAACTGGTATGTTCTTGCAGTGCTGACTATTGTCATAAAAAAGCAGAAAGTATATTAGATAATTGTCATATAGAAAAGAATGGCCTTTTGGTTTTTGTTCTTTGAAGCTAGCTTTGTAAGTACTTTTATACTATTATGATATTATCAACTTCAACATGCGGGTATACTTATCTCCGGTCCTAATTATTTATATGCTGCTAAGGATTGTACATGGGAACTATGGGAAGTTAATTGTGCCTGATGATTGCTTATAATAGATTTCATATGAACTTTCTATACCTTTTAAGTGCCTCATTGCCTTTTTAATTTTACAGTCAGAAAATACAAGTCTTTTAAACCTCAGAAAGTGTCAATTGGAAGTGCTCAGGTTCCTGGCAATTCAGTCTCAACTGAGCCATCTTGGAGGCTTCGATTCACGGTAAGCTTACGTTGGCACAATTTCACCAATGTTCTACTCTTTTGCCTTCATGATACAATTCCTGTGGTTAAAACTTACTTTTTTTTGTCACTATCAGAGAATACCTAATTTCATTGGAGGCCAATTTGTAGAGTCACAGTCTACTGCAACAGTCGATATTATAAATCCTGTGAGAGCTGCAATGCAGGCCTTGTTATTGTATCATCTAGTTCTCAAATTGGTCTGCTATTTCTGATCATGACAAAATTTTTTTGGTGTAATATTGCTAGTAGGCTACTCAGAAAGTCGTATCTATACTTTCCTTAACAACCATTGAAGAACTTAAAGCTGCAGTATGTGCAGCGAAATGGGCATTTCCTTCTTGGAGAGATACACCAGTCACATCACGTAAACGTATAGTGTTAAAGCTTCGAGAACTTATTCAGAGGGACATGGTAAGAATGTTCTACCTTCTATATTATTTTGTCAATACAGAAGGTATGATTTTCTCTCCTGTTTATTCCACTAGGATAAACTTGCTGCTACTATTACATCTGAAGGGGGCAAGACACTGAAGGATGCCTATACTGATGTGCATTACAGCCTTGGTGATTGTCATTTTAGATATATTCTTATATTTTCATTCCCTTTAATGATCTATGACTGTGTTTGCAAAATTTTTTGTTTTTAATTGTAGAGGCTTTGGACTGTGCTTGTGGGATGGCAACTCCGCAGATGGGACGATTTGTTTCAAACATATCCAATGAACTCGATATCTATAGCATTAGAGAGCCTCTTGGTGTTTGTGCAGGAATTTGCCTTGCTAATTTTCCTGCCATAATTGCTTTATGGGTATGGATACATGCTTCAGCTGTTAATTTTCACTGCCTGTGTTTTCTGGTTCCAATCTGGGTGATGTGCTTCCCATTGGCTGTTAATGTTTGATGCTCGCCACATTGTTTACTCAAAGCATAATGTAGCATTCTAAAAACCACTTTTGCATACTCAAGTTAACTTGAGAAGTCATGAATGAACTTTTTTGTGCTCCTGGTGAATTACTGTCTCATTTGCTTGTATCTGTTTTGTATTCTTCTGCCTTGCTTTTATCAGGTTTTAAAATTTATTTATCAGTTAGAATTTAAAAGGCTTCTTTTTGAGTTATGATAATATCTTTTTCTTGGATGATGGAGCCTGGAGGCCCCATGACCACACTTTTAACCATGTATTTTTTTTTTTTTTTGGTACAGATGTTTCCTGTGGCAGTTTTGTGTGGTAACACTTTCATTTTGAAGTCTTCAATGAGGGATCCAGGTGGCTGATGCTCTCTTTGTTGTAGGGTATATGTATAATTACTAATATTAGTGTCATGTAGAGCAACTATATCCGGCTAGCATGCTGTGATTTTATTCTTTGGTCAAACTTTTCTAATAATTACTCTCCTTTTCCCTGTATTAATATCTTTTATCAAATTGGTACTTTGTGGTTGGACTTGATGCTGAATTGCTGATGGTCGTTCAGGTGTGTCTATGATCCTCGCGGAGTTGGCTTTAGAAGCTGGTTTGCCGAATGGTGTCCTGAATACAGTCCATGGCACTGATGTACGCTATGAGCCCTCTTAACATGTTTTCTGTCTGTTTATGTTATTAATACTCATTCTGTCCCATATGATTTTTTTTTCCCAAGTATTTTCATCTGCGTCCTAGATTAGTGTTTACACTTCTATTTTACAAAAGGCCCCACTTTTATATTAATACATCTCACTTTCCATTACCAAAAAGTTATGGCCAAACAGTCTCGCATTAAATAATAGAATACCCTACTATCTTAGTATCTTTTATCACGTCTACTTTTTCATTAAAATACTATTTCACTGCTTCCACATCTACTTTTCCTCTAATATAACAACTGGTAACGAAACAACAAGTTATTACTTCCTCCGTTCCTTTTTGTTGGTTACTCTTTTACCATTTTACTCAATGTAACCAACAAATAGGAACAGAGGGAGTACCTAAAACAATATAACATGATAAGTGTCAAAACTAATGTGGAACGGAGGGAGTAATATTGTAATATTTTACTATATGTCCTTTGTTTTAAACATAATTGATTTTGCTGGCAAATATGCTCTAGAATGCCAGATGTACACTGTACACGATGATATCTTAAGCTTCACTTGTGGAATTTTTTTAGTGAGCCTATGTTCATCACCTTAGCATCTGTTTCCTGTTTCAATTTATGACACGTGTGCCCTTGATTCTATTATGTTATTTTGTGCCAGGACGTTGTCAGTGCTATTTGTGATGATGATGATGTAAAAGCTGTAACAGTTGCTGCTTCTAAAGCAGTAAGTTAATCATTCTTGGAGTTTTTGCATGTATAATTGGTGTTGGTGACTTGATGTAGTTAGCAGCATACTACCCTACTAGACATTCTACTTATTTCCTTCAAGCTTCAATTTTTGTTGATGAATTGTATGTTTTTTTTTATTCAAGTATGGCTTGCATGTGCACTCAAGAGCATCTGCTAAAGGGAAGAGAGTTCAGGTTAGTGAATCAACTAACTATGTAAAGTGTGTTGCATGTATATCACTTGGGGATAATCATTACTGAAAACTGATTCCTTATCATTTCTAGTCTTATACAGAAGGGAGAAGTCATATGGTTGTCATGCCTGATGCAAATACAGATGCTACTTTAAATGCTCTTGTTCCTGTGGCTTTTAAATCTGAAGGAGAAAGGTGCTTTGCACTTAGTACTGTGATATTTGTCGGAGACTCGAAGCCATGGTATAGTACTGTTTTTTTGTGCTTGAATTTTCTTCCTCTGGCTGCCTGGTTCATCCATGGCTTGTGTGTTTTGAGCAATGTCCAGTCATTGATTTGCCTTTTTATTAAGTGTTTCCACTGACAAATAATTCTTCACACTTAAGATTTTCTTAAGTTGCTTCAGCTGATAAGAGAACTTGGTTTACTCGGACTCATTCACTTATTTCACTTGTGTCTATGTGTCAGAGTCAGGTTTTTTTTAAAAAAAAAATTCGGTGCTACTCATGTCTGAGTGTTGGAGGATGTAATCGATATACTCCAGGCTTAATGAAGAGTCCTAGTAACAATATTTACCCCTTGTTTTTGGTGTATGTCTGCTGGCCCAGCATGTTATTTCTAAACTATACATTATTTAGTTTTTCTTAGGAATTTCTTGAAGTACTTCAGAAAAAAAAAGGAATTTTTTGGATTCTGTTCCTTAATCTGACTTTTCTTTTTTAATTTCCAGGGAATGCAAATTGGTAGAACAGGCGAAGGTGCTCAATGTAAATGCTGGTACTGAACCAGATGCAGACATCGGTCCGGTGATGAGTAAGCAGGTGAGGACTATTAAATGTCTTGGGAATACTTTCCTTCACTTATTCTCTAACCATTATTCTTTTCCTGATGTTAATTTGGTTATTCACTTATTCTTGCACTGTTAACCTTTCAAAGGGAATTCACCTTTTATTTATTTATTTTAATTATAGCATAGTGAATGCCACCCATGCAATTATAGGCCTTACACCATTGTCAAAGCAAGTATATGCAGGATGATTACATGCTCGATCTTTTTAACTCAGAGTACTTTAGAAGAGCACACACACACACAACACCCCCCCCCCCCAACTTCATTTTTTCCTCTTATCACCTCTTCTTTCATGGATGTTCAATTGCTTGGTTACTCAAGCAAAGATGTTTCTCTTTTTCTGATGGAAGCCGAACATAATACCCTGTAACTTTCATTGGAGTCATACACAACCCACAATATATGAAGAGTTTTGTTCTCTAGAAAAGCTTTTTCTGTGTTTGTTCTTTTACATGTATAGTTCAGAGGTCTATATTCTTTTTCCACTAAGAGGTTGGAGGGACTATAGAGAAATGGGGAGGTTAATATATTATTTGTCCTGAGGGGTTGCTGTATGTTTCATACTGCTTGAATTGAAAGAATGCTAGGGAAAGGAAATTGAAAGGGAGAAAGGTCATTGAATGAAGTTTATGAAATAGACTTTATGATTGATTTGATTTCTATGAAAATGTTTACTTGTTTAGTGTTTGTCTGAGGAGTTTTTGGTGATAATTTTATGCTATATAAACCTACTTGTTCAAAGGACATGATTGGTTTTTTTTTTTTTTTTTTTTTTTTTTTTTTTTTTTTTGGGGGGGGGGGAAGTGTTTCTGTGGTATAAACTATAAACCTACTTGTTTTGAAGTATACGATATTTTCTTAACCTGTTTGGTAAGAGAGTACAGTTTAGTAACCATGACATTATTTACTCCTTCCTCGCACTTAAGCTCAGGTTGCTTGTGTTGTTGGCCAGCTTATAACTGTAGGAACTGCCTCCTAAGTCAAATAGTAAATCAGTAAATTGAGTTTTTTGTGCAAATATTTGGACACTGAAGATTTGTCTTGCAATGATGTTGCCTAAATTAAGTAACTTATAAAATTCTGTATTTTCAATGAGTAGTTTCGCCTATTCAATGACACATTTTTTCATGTTCCAGGAAAAGGACAAGATATGCAAATTGATAGAAAGTGCTATTGAAAGGGGTGCCCGACTCATTCTTGATGGCAGAAACATCATGGTATGAAGTTGTTGATTTTTTTAATTCAAAAAGTAATAATTTTTTTTTTTGGGAAGACAAGAGATAAAATCAGCAGGACTCTTTAATAGACCTAATACCAATACTTCATATTATATACAAGTAGTATAGCGTATAGAATTTTCACTCTCGTATGAGTCATGTCTATTTTATTCATTGTTGGTCTTTGTTGTTCAAAATTTTCGTTGTTATTCATGTTTTGTTTAAACACTTGTGTAAATTTCCACCCATAAACACTGAAGTAAATTTCCACCCATTAAATAAAAATCTAGCTTGCCCTGTCTTAACTAAAGGAAATGTGTATGTCATTGATAGTTGATATTTATGTTCTTTGATATGTTTACTGGGAAAGCTGGGAAGAGATATCTGGAACATGATCTGCCTGTGAAAATCATGTCAGTCTCTGTTAATTTTTGGTATATAGATAGAGTTTTTTTGCTAACTTTTAGGAGTTTACAAAACTTCTGTAGTCTTAATACTCTTAAATGATAAATGACTGGCTTTGGCGGGTGGATACATGTACTAGGCTACTAGCTTTACTTTTGGAGTTTGCCATATCTTGGCTCTTGTTTTTATTTGCTGGGTTAGCGAGGTTGCTCATTTGTTTCAAAGCTTGGAGCACCCTTCTTTTATAGTTCACCTCAGGTGCAAGATATGTGTCAGTTGTGTAGGGACGTGGGGTGCAAGCTAGTAAGCTACCTATGTATTACTTTGATGCAGAGTTCAAATCTGCTGATATTAGTTTCATTTCTTGCCGCTTTTTCAAACTTCATCTGGCTAAAAGTATGAAATATTTATGTGTCAATCTTCCTTATTTTAACCCCTCCTTTTATTAAGTTATTGCTATTATTATTATTGTTTTTTTTTTTTTTTTTGATTTTTAATTTTTATTTTTATTTTGATTTTAGTTTTTTTAATTTCCCACTTGTGTCAAGCACTCAAGCAATCAACATCCAAAATGCATAGAAATTTTAGTCTGGTTAACTTCAACAAAAGCAATGACCTGAATCACTTTGTTGTATGACAGGGTAACTGCCAAGGTCTATCTGGTTTATTTTGTTTGATGCTTACATGCTTTTATATTATTGAAACTTTCCCTTTTCTTTTCTGATGGGTTATCTCGTTTTTATGTCGTGGGCTCATGGCAGAGTTTAGCTAGCTTTTTTCTTATATTTCTTACTTAACTTCACTGGATGGTTTTTGTAGGTTTCTGGATATCAGCAGGGTAATTTTATTGGCCCAACTATTGTATGTGATGTCACTGCAGATATGGAATGCTTCAGGGTACATATATTGGCACTTTGGTGGTTTAAGTCTTATAACTATATATAATTGAGGTTTGGACAATTAATGATCGATTCGTCTGATACTGTTAATATATTGCAGGAGAAGATGTATGGGCCCGTTCTTCTCTGTATGCAGGTGCAATTATGTGTTTTGTAAATAAGTTGCATGTTGGTCAATCAAACTGCTCCCTCTTTTCTGAGATTAGCTAACTTCGATACATTCTGTATGTCTATAACAGGTTAAGAGTTTAGAAGAGGCTATTAGCATTATAAATGAATGCAGGTAAGCTGCTACTCCTTGGGCAACTTCAAGTTTTCAGGATGTTAAGTTTGGCTGATTTTATATCAATAAGCAGACATTGTAATGGAGCATCTATATATACGGCATCTGGGGCTTCTGCTAGGCAGTTCCAAACACTAATTGAGGCTTCACAGGTACCGCAGGATTTTCTCTACACCAGTCTACAATGTATTTATACTCCCCCTACATGATAGATGAAGTTTCTATTTTAGGCTGTCCCTGAAATAATCAGTCAGTCTGTCACTATTATTCAAATTTTTTCAAATGATTATCCTGTTATGTCCTTATGGCGATTCATGTTAGCCGACTTCAAATCATTTTGGGACTAAGGCTTTGTTGTTGTTGGTCAAACTGTTAACTTTCCCATACACCTTTAACTAAGATTTCCAATGCAAGACAACATTGTAATGAATATATTGATTGAATGGATGTATGGCGAAATGGTGTTTTCTTCACAGGTTGGCATCAATGTCCCTGTTTCAGTTCGTATGCCTTTCATCTCGTCTGGTGACCCAGAGGCTCCGTTTGCAGGTGAAATGCTATCCGTGCAGAACTTCTTTTATTTATTTTTCCCTTGGAGGAAATGGTATTGTCCATCTTCAATAATGTTATGTTTGTACATCAGCATTATCCAAGACCTGCTAAAGTCACGCCATTGTTTTTATTTCTTACCCATGTACTTTTGCACTATGAAGTTGAGACAAGTTCTTATGTCCTGATTTATTTTCAGGACAAACTGGAGTTCTTTTTTATACTAAACTCAAAACTGTAAGACAACAGTGGAACGATTTTCCAAAGGATGACGAAGGTGTACCAATGTCAGCTTCTCCTACTCCGGAGCAAATGATTGCTTATCAAGAGGGTCTAAATTATGAGCAGAGAATTGAGGGTGTTTGAGTATAGTGTTTTTGTATATAGTGCAAGCTTCATATAACTCTTGGATGTGCCATTGATGCTTCAGGCCAATTTTTTAAAATTCGATGTGCCATTGATGCTGCTGACCCCTAGGACTAGGACCTTGAAAATTTTGTTATTCCATCATTATTCTAATCTGTTTGTTGGGAAAAAATAGTCGCATACACGTTTTTGAGATATTTAAAAATTTCATGAACTTTTTGGAGTAGTTATAGCTTATGATTGGATTTCTTACCTTAGGAAAGGAGAAATTGCAATGAACAGAAGAATTCTCAAAAAAAAAAAAAATAATAATGTCATGTTTATTGTATAATTAATGATATTTTTTTGTAATTTTTTAAAATTTTGACCATTGAACACTACTTGGTACATTCGGACAAAGGAGTATGAGAATTTATGTGTTGCAATTATTTAGGCCTGTTCTCATTGACTGAACTGAACTGAATTAATTAGAGCTGAACTGAAATGAATATTTTATAATACACATTGATTAATTTCAGTTTAGCTCCAATCAGTTCAGTTTAGTTCAGCTCCAAATTCCTTCTCTAATAAAATATTTATTTCAACTCTATTTAGCTCCAATCAGTTCATCTCACCTCAGTTTAATAAATCAAAACAAGCCCTAAATCAAATACTAGTATGTCACCAAATCAAGCAAATGATAACTATGTCACATTTAATTTTTCTTGATTTCTATTTCCCTCGAAAGTCTAGGTGGATTCATCGTCATCAACCTCATCAATTAGAATTTTATATTTTCACCTAAAACTAAATTAAACAAAAACTTTGAATCTGAACCATCTGATTTCCTGTCAATGCTTCATAACCGCACGATTTTCTTCCAAAAAATTGCTTTGATCACTAGTCTCTTTACTAATTTCATAATTTCATTTCAACAACCTAAAAAAAAAAATTATTTAAGAAATTCAGACACTAACTTCGTTTCGTCGTTCTTCAATTCTCTCTCCTCAAAAATCAGTGAAGATGCTTCAATTCTCACTTCAACGAGGTAATTTTAAGCATTTTATCCCTTTAATTTTAATTCTTTTATTTTGTTCGATTGATTTTGTTCAAGTTTTTAGTCTAATTTCATATTTAGTTTGGATTATTGTTGTGTAAATCAATTTGTTGATGATTTAATTCAATTTTTTTTTTCCCTCAAAAATGTTAGCGAAAAACATGAAATTGTTGCGACCTCAATTGTTTGCTCTCAAGTATTCGACTGCAACTAAAGCATCTAGTCAGCATCCCAAACCTTCGGTAATTTCTATGTTTTTTTTTATATTTAATTTAATTCTTTTTTTTTTTTAATTTAATTATGTTGTTATGCGTTTGTTTAAATTGAAATTTTGGAGGAAATTAGTTGAGTCACTGTTTCATTCCTTGAAGATTCTTAATTATTGAAGCTGGAATCGTTTTAGTGAGGTTTAGTCGAGGGGAAGATCATAAGTGTGTATACTGCAAAATCCATTTTTGACGTATCTTGAAAGAACATATTTCCTCCATTCTTTAAGTATTGCAACGTTGTGGCTTTCATGTTTATTTATCAATCCACAACTTTGATCATGAATATTTTTACTTATCAATCGGTAAAAATTGATTCTTTAAAGTTGATGTCTTGAAAATATATGTTAAGACTAATGCAAAAACATTTTACGAAATAACAAATGTTTTTGTATACTCATAAATTATGACAATGAATTAATTTATGGTCAAATTAGTACTTGTATATGAAAAGTGTAAAAGTCAAAACGTTGCAATATTAAAGGATGGAGTAAGTATATGTTAAAATTGTAATCTTAAATTACAGCACTAATCAAAATGTGTACATTAGCCTCATACACAATGTGAGAAATATGGCAAAACAAGTTAATGAAGATATTGATCTAGTACAATATTTTACAAATTGTAAAACTTGGTATTGTAATTTCTTGGTTGAACTTGAATGAAGCCGTAGACTTGTTCACTTTCTTTGATAAGTAAACTTATTATAAAGAAGATGATTGTTATTTGACTTTCTTATAAGTCTATTGGATTGTTCCTATACATTGCAGTAGGATGGGAACTCTATAATTCTCAATTTCGATCATGTGTGTTGATCTTTCGAGGAAAAAGTCATCCCTCCATGTTTTTGATAAAAATTGTATTAGAAGAAGGATGACAATTATTTGATAACACAAAACTGTATTGGAGGGTAGGGGACGGAGGGGGTATGGGGGGTGCTAAGCCGCTAAGGAGTAATGTTTATTTTCTGCTCAGAATTGTTACTCTTGTAGATCACATACTGTGCGTTGCTGACTTACCATTTTGTATCCTAATATTGATGTAAGAGGACTCCTCTACTGATTGGAGGCAAGTTCATTGAGTCCCAAGCAGCTGAATCAATTGATGTTCTAAATCCGGTAATCTCTTAACTTATTTCTTTGTTTTTCTTGTTGGTTTTTAAAAAAGTGTTTTTTTTTCTTAGTTCAGTTTAGAAACTTATTGTTCCTCATATTTTACCATTCCCTCCCCCTTTTGGTCAGGCAACACAAGAAGTTGTCTCTCAAGTTCCATTGACTACAAAAGAGGAGTTCAATGCTGCAGTATCTGCAGCGAAACATGCTTTTCCGTCATGGAGAAACACACCAGTTACACCTCGTCAGCGCATAATGTTCAAGCTACAAGAACTTATCAGGAGAGATATGGTAATATCAAGGATTATTCATTCCCCATTATCTTATCGTTATATAAATATTTTATTTTTATGGAGTTCCTCTTCTAAATGCTGCTGTACTCATATTTCAGGACAAGCTCGCCTTGAATATTACCACTGAACAAGAAAGACACTCAAATATGCCCAAGGAGATGTTATTCGTGGATTAGGTTGGTGATTTGATTTTGACTTGTTTATAGTTTGGCATAAGCCACTACTTGGTATTCTAATATTTGAATTTCAAAAACTTTCTTTAGAGGTGGTGGAGCATGTATGCGGCATGGGGACACTTCAAATGGGAGAATATGTTTCCAATGTTTCACATGGTATTGATACTTACAGCATTAGAGAACCTCTTGGTGTTTGTGCTGGCATATGTCCCTTTAACTTTCCTGCAATGGTCCCTTTATGGGTAAGAAATAATTCAGTATCCAATGTTGTTACATAAACTATTTGTAGATGGATTTTGTTTACGGTAGGAAGTAGAGCTCTTATTCCATATATTCCTCCTTTTGACATATAGCCTATGTACAATATACATTATTATTTGATTGTTAACCAATGACATTTTGGCAATCTATAGAAAGTAAATTTATTTTCTTGAATAACAATGTTGAGGGAAACTTACTATATTCCCTTTTTTAAAAGAAAATTAAAATGGTTTAGAATATACTTGTATTTTGATGAAATGGTTCATATTGAAGAACCTCCGAGTGCGTTCTTTTAGTAATTGATCATTGTACAATGTACATGTAATCTGCTGCTCTTTGTTTACCAGAGATGCATACTAAAAAGTAAAAAGTAAAAAGTATTATTAATTGGTTTTCAATATGCTGTAAGTTGTAGCACAAAGGAGTTATATGTTGGTTTTGTTTGGGCCTTTTGGACTGGGACATGATCCAGCCCTCATGATAGAATGCCGTGGAAATCCTTGTATGATCATTTTAGTTAAATGACTTATATCTATAGGTTCAGTAACGTAATAGCAAATATCAGGAAATGGTTTGACATTCAACTTCCTTGTGATACTTTTACATATTTAGTTCACGATTTCATTTTATTTTTTATTTTTTTGAAGTTTCTTGTCTAGAGAACTTGAGTTTTCCACAATCTTTCTAAGCTGTGTTTTTGTAGTTAGTTGCCTCTTTAGTCCATACAAGTTTGTGAAGGAGAGAAACATTGTTTTTTTTTTAACATGCTAATAATGTGATACTTTTCTCAGATGCTTCCAGTGGCCATTGCTTCTGGCAATACCTTCATTTTAAAACCATCAGAAAAAGACCCAGGTGATACTTCTGTTCCTTCTACCATTCATGTAGAATTCTGAATTTTTTTCCTTGTAATTATTTGCATTATTATGTGGTGCAATTCTTCAAATTTTAGTCGGTTCTGTCATTGCACTGACAATTTGTTTGGTCTTCCTATGACATCATGATGCTGTATATCTTTAAATGTCTTCTGTTTACAATTAGTGTGTTGTATGAATTTAAAGAAGTTTATTTTTGTCAACTTGTGTAAACACTTTACAAAATTTGATGATTATTATTTCCCAAACATCAGTTGAAGTATTCTTCATATGTACTTTTCTGTTCATATCTGTACCTAACTTGAATTTTCATGTGCGCCCCTGGGATGCTTAATGAATTCTATTGGGATTCATTTTCTGTCCTATACATCTGTGTAAATTTTTTGACTCTCTTGTATAGATTTTTCATGCTTTTAATTTTTTAATGCATGAGGATCGCTAAGGATTGACTGTACTGTTTCACTAATTTTGCCCGCTTAAGTCCTGGTTTTATTTTTCTTTATAGGGGCTTCTGTTATGCTAGCCGAGTTGGCTATGGAAGCAGGTCTACCTGATGGTGTCTTAAATATTGTTCATGGAACTCATGTATGCCTTTTCGATTTTACTTCTTCCTTTTATCTTTTCGCATGATATGCAAGTGTAAAAACTGTCTATTTGGTTGTTTTCATGAAGCTTCCATGAAGTATTTTCCTCTGCATCTATATTTGATTGTTTCCTTTTTTAATTTCTTTTTCTAGGGTGGAGAGAAGGCAATGGGATAGGGACACTTTCCTTTCCAGTGTTGCTAAATGATGTACTTCACACTTTGCTCCCACCATTGTTGATGTAACTTATTGTGCTTTGATACAAGACATTGTCAATTCTATATGTGATGATGACGATATTGGAGCCATATCATTTGTCGGTTCTAATAATGTAAGTATATTTTTGACTTTTTAAAATTACTTAAGATACCCTAGAAATATTGGCTATTTGTTATAATTACTTTTTGGTACCATAGTATTCACTTTAATCTAAATTTACATGCTATCAGTTTCTTCAAGATCTTCTGTAGAATATATGTCTGTAACTCTGTATGTCCCTTATGTACTGGCAATTTTTTTTAAGTCACATAAGCTTTTGTAAGTCAAACTAGGTGAATCTGGGCCTTAATTTCTATTTTATTTGGTTCTTTTAATCTTATAAAATTTTGATG